AAGTGTCCATATTATAGCAGCTATGTAAACTGAAGCTTGGCTCAAGATGCTGAGCAAGTGCTAACAACGTTTGTTTTAAAGAATCTACTTGATAAATCCTTTTAGTTACTGACTGTTCATGGAAACAGCGTAAGGTAGCAAAATGTCAACTATTTTAAACGCCAGTGTACCTTAATGACAAAGTATATGCAGTAGACGTTCCACCTCGCAACTGGGCATTGCTCCTGAAGTTATTTTAATCATTCATCATTCACTGAACGGACGTGACCATAATTGGAATGTATGTCTGAATGTATATCTGCAGTAAAAGGTAAATTATATGAGATCCTAGGAAGATAACCTTTCGAGGCATACGACGGTAAAAATGAAAAGCGGAATGAGCAACAAAATTATTGATGCTATGCATCGGCTATCGTACCACTCCATGTATACTGGGTTGTAGAAAAAGTACTGGCTATTTTGAAGCCAAAGCTGAAACAAGTGTTTTAACATATGTTATAATAACGTTACTAAATTTTTTTCGAGATTTTCGCGCAAAAAATTGTAACAAATGATCTTTGCATCCATCCATCTATTGAAATTGAATTAATACCATTAAAGGAGTTCTGCAGAATGCGAAACAAATGACAGATAGTGTTATAGTGCATGATCTATGTCCTTCAGAAGATGCACTAGAATTCCTCATTGAAGTTCTTTCTATTTTCGCCAGATAGTTATGTATGTAGTCTGGCACTGTCATTATGGAGAACGAATCCTCCTCATCCGTAGTCAACCGCTTTAGAAATGGCTTGGTGTCGTTGCATTCTTGTAGAATTTGGCAGATTTATTATAACCGGGCATATTCTTTTGCGTGATTTCGTGCGGCATCCAAGTTTCGAGTTCTTTTTGTAACTAGCTTTCTTCGAACCGCTTAATCGTCGATGTTCAGTTCCTTAGCGATACCATGGCTACTTACGGGTTGGTCTTGCTAACTTGCGCATTCATTCCATCAACTTCTTCAGTAATTCGTTGAAAGCTATAAGAAGCATCTTTCACGTGTAAATTTCTAGGACGAAACTGATAGAACCATTTTTAAGCCGTTTCTTCCGATAACGTATCCTTGTCATAAATGGTACAATATTTTTTGCGCCTGGGCAGCACCAGTGCTTTTATCGTAATAAAATTATAAAATGTCGTAAACGTTTACTATAATTTTACTTACCTCCAAGGCACCTTATTTTGGGATTTCAACAGAGCTAGCACATCTACGACTGCCAAATCCCAGCTTTCAGATAACAACAACGCTGGCCGCATATTGCCCGACCCACCCAGAGCCAGCGGGGAATCGTAGACTTCTGGTTGTGCACTTCAGTTGGAAAATCGTTATCATCAACCTTCGCCACAAAAGCGATTGTTACAAAGGCCAATGTTTATAGCGATATAGTACACAACACGACAAATAGGTCCCATATTCCAGGACCCTCTTTTTACAGTCTTGCACAAACGTTAACAATAGCCGGGCCTGTATATGTCGCAACGCTGCATAGGCAGTTCCCGAGACTTCGTACAAAAGGATTCGTCGATACAGCAGTTCAGGACGTACTTGCGAATCTTAACGTCTCAGGTGCTTGCCTAGTGCAACAGTTGGACCTTCCTTACGATACTGTTTGCTGTTTGCTACACTAATACCTCGGCAATCGGCGCCATGGAATTCAGATAATTTAGGATTTCAACCTAACGGCCACGCGAGACGTCGTATTTTTGTTACAAGGACCACAGGAAGGCTGCAACGCGATTTTGTATCGAAAATCGTGTCCTTAGTTGTTCCGCACATCCACCCAACTGGGTTGATGAGACTGCTGTACCCTGGCATATTAGAGCTTTCATGGCATTCACAGACGACTATATTATGTAGCGAAAGTAACTTTACAGCGCGAACTCTGCGCAAGCCCTGTCATCAAATTGTTTTTTAAACAATTCTCATTACAGAGATACGTTAAATAACTTTGAAATCAAAATAGATAATTTGGACTCAGGCGGTATTTTATGCTAACACGATATTCATTCGAAGTGCTGCAGTTATTAAAGGAGAAGCGCGGTGAACGCATAATTTATTGGACTTAAGGCAGGTTTTTTTTTTTACAGATAAGGTAAATTTTTTCACAGAATTTTTTCTAAGGTAAAGTCCATTCGATTACATTTACAATTAAGGAATGTGGCCAACATTAAATTCGGCAACGAAGCCAGAGTTAAATAAAAAATTATCAAAGAGAATCTTTTAAACCACCAAAGTAAATTTGGTTGGAAGAAAGCGGTTGGTGTAATATTTGATGTATAATGGCATTGTTATTTATGTTATAATTTTGATATTGTACAAATTCAACAAACTGCCACTATATATAAAAAAACAAATATATATATAAACTGAGAATTGCTGCTTGAAATCTCGCCAACGACACAGCCATTGTAAACAAGAGTAATTATTTTTTTATGATATATATAATATCCTCACTGGAACAGAATGCCTTGTCCTCTCGTATAGTAGATATTTTTATTATTCATATGTGCTTTGGACACCTTCTACCATGCGCCTATATAAATCTCTATAACGTTGTAGAACTCACATTTAATGATGGTTCCTTGATTAGTTTTTTGAGCGATAAATCACTATTATTTGTTATTTCAAGCTTATGACGCGACAGAGAACATTCAAACGACATCTGAACCTCAATTACCTGCATAAACTTACCATTTAAAAAATAATGAGGAAGACGACAATGAATCTGAGGTGGTTACTACCCTTCATCCTCAGCTATATAATCAATTTTAGTATTTCAGTATTCCACTTTAAGTTCCTAGAGAGGAAACGTATTCAGTGCCAATACTTCAGATCAAGTGGAGACTCACAAATTAACTATGAGACAAGAGTTCATGACGTTGTCGAACTTATGCCTTTATAATGCCATTAGAAAAGATCCGCAATGCAGAAGTGGAGTGCTAACACAATGAATGTCATGGCTGGTCGCCACACAGCTCATGACTCATAGAGGCTCGAATCAATATTAGTTCAGATCGTGGCGGCCTATCATTCCTTTTCGAACGAATGGTTGTTTACATTTGTCCTTCTTACGGTTTGCGAATCTACTTTGACTTCCTCCGGGACGTAGCAGTCTCTTTGCTAAAATCATTCTTATTATCTATTAGCTCACCGACAAGCCAGTAAATTGATTTTTTCTTATTGACTATTATTTTGTGGCTGAAGGTTTCCATAGGTAGATTTTTCTGTTCTTCGATGTGTCCGGTTTGTCATAACCTATTAGACCCATAAAGCACATGTGAATTTGGAACCTTAGCCGAATTGTTTTATTTTAACATACTTCAGCGGAGAGAGTCAAATGGTTTAGACATTGAAAATAATATACATTTTAGAGAAAAAAACAGGCTTTTTTAGTAAAAGATTTGCCTCATCATTATGTAAATGTACTCATTATGCCAGTTATTGTGGGACACTATGTAGTAGGCGAAACGCTAGGGTGAACGTACATCTGGCTACGAACTCGTCTAGTGTATCATTAGTTCTATTGAAATGGCTCCACGGGTACCAATACGTTTGAAAAGTTTCTTCAAGAAACTTATTTCTTCAAGAAACTTCTTATTTCTGCTTACGTACTAACTAATAGACTAAAAACGATTTACTAGAGCATCGGACAAGGAGAGCCTTTCCAAGGGGCATCCTTTCATGGATAAAAGACGATTCATGATTAAAAACGATCGATTAGGCACAGGTGGTGCTCAGGACACTAAGCTCGTTTTATAGCACAGGGACCTTATGATGCGACTGGCCGCTGTCTTCACTGGCTACGTTATATCAACGACACGGCCGTTTTGCATAACGTTACATGACATAACGTTCGGGAATCGCTTCCTTAATTTTATTGGTTTGGAGCTATTAATCTGAGCGGCAAACAAAGGCTGCCTGTCAATCGGAATTATTAATGCAGGAGCTTATGATAGCATCCGCACTGCGTTGTCCGTGTGTAACATAACAAATGCCTACATGAACAATGCCCTATGGAAAACAAGAGAGAGTCTTTATCAGTGGAACTACATTCAGCACGTTATAATCGAAACTGTTGTCAGTGTCCCAAGTACAAACAAATCTATAGATTATACATTGCTGGAGAGTTTAGGGGGAAATGTACAAACATACTCGCTACTTTCTGAAGCCAATTTGACTCGAGCGAAGTTATCCATGGCTCGATTGTTCCTGCTTAATAATAATAATTTATGATCGAATGTGCTGCATTTGTCTGTGATGCATCTCTACTGTATGACAACTATTATGCGGGCAGTTCCGTTTGGGAACAACGTTGGCCATGTGGGAGAGTAATGACGATGACACAATGCTGACAAACATATATGAGCTTACCAGACTGTTTTGAGGGCAAGCCGCCAACTTGCCATCAATAGCATTTCATTTGCTTTATGTCCGAAACACATAGTCCCGTAGCGTGTCAAGAATAGTCAATAGAAGATGTTCATAGAATGCAATTTGGTTAATCCGTTTTGAAAAATGTAGGCCAGCTTATATTGTTAGAGTTTTACATACGCTGACAAAAGTGCAGAGAAATACTCAGGCGACCCAAATAGGCTGAACCTGGACTCCGATAGCATGCATCTTTACAAGCAACGTTTAGCCCGGTAGGAACAACTAGAATGCCTCCTGGCCCTATAACCCGACCGTTTTTTGCACGTTGACGTTTTATGCATTATAGTCGTTTGGACCTGTCGTTACGTTAGGTTAGGTTTTTGCCCGCCCCGGTTCTTTTACTTCTACTCTGATCATCTCGCCTGGTGACGTTACAGACTCGTATTCTCCTATACCAGATCGTGCTGATTCGTGCTAACGAGAGAAAATGCAGATGATCATTTCGTGCTGTTCAATTGAGAGGTTTGACTTAAATTTAATCACCACGTCAACAGATGAGGGGAATTTATGCTAGTCTTCCTTTGCTTTCCAGCGATGCCACAGTCCCGATTGGTGAAGCCGTCCAGGAGGCGCTCAAATATATCGAGAAAATTATTTGTAACGACATCACTCAAGTGCTTGACGACTTATACAAAAGGTAACGGATACCGAAATGACTTTCTATTGCTAATAGTCAAATAGAAAGTGACTTAATCCGAGTACAACGAGTATTGAATTAATGCGGCGACATCAAAGCAGCGAGCGAGAGAGCGAGCATGACAGACATAAGTTCATCTTCTTCTTGTTTGTTATTCTATAAAATGACAAATCTTGCGTCTAAACCATTCACAAAGTATTTAAACACAACAGAAGTCTACTCGTTATTGCAGACGTACTAGGAGCGTGTACCATGCTATGGCATATGCGCACGTGATGTTTTTGCGAGCTGGCCTAACCCTACATAAGGTAAGTGAACCCTAATTTGCATGTGTCCGGATAGTCTTCACGCAAGTACGTAAGTTCTGTTTTTAATAATATTCTTCACTACAGTTTTATTCGGTGCTAATTAGAACCTGTAGGCATTGCTTAATTTTCATTTATTGCGTGTTTAAAAATACTCGACGCTCACCATGTCACCAGACTATGTCAGAACGGTATTTTCCTTGTAATAATACGGGGGTAGTTCTATTTATTCTGTAATAGTTTATTACGTAAAGCTTGCAATACTTACCTACCTGTGTCATTGCTGTCGAGTTACAGGAGGATATAGAGAAGGCGGTAGCAGCGTTGATTGAGACATCCACTTTTTGTCATGGCCGTCGTAAACAGTCGTCAATGGTGTACCGGATCATACTCCGAGAAAATTATAACTCTTACACAACTGAGCAAGTTCGTTTAATCTGAAAACCATCGTAATAACTGTATTTCTGCTTTGACGGTAGTCGGCGCTTTTGAGCTCAACGATAAATCTGTTGAGAAGAAAAGATTACATATGAGAAAAGTCAAATAAGATTTAACATAGATGTACGATATGATGTCAAATAATCGTTATATATTAAAAACAAAAACTGAACTTACTTATTTTTTATAAGTTCAGTTGAATTGAATAAAATTCAGTTCAACTACTCAGTAATACGGCCGCCGTCTGTCTGGTTTAGATATTAAAACGAAGGAAACTAATTTGGAAATGCGGTAAACATATCACTCCACACAGGTAGTCTATATTAAATGACTAAGTAACAAAAATATAAGTGCGCCTCAGGCCAAAAAATTTAGAGAAACCACTGCGAAGGACACCCCTTTTAAAATTGCAGGTACATGCCGAATTGTGTTACGGTACCACCCTTCTCGCTGAGTCGATCTTAACGATGCTGCAAGACCCTTCATTTCTATCGGTTGTTCATGGCGCTTTTAAATTTCGTTCCTGCTATCGTGCGTTCAAGTGGGTAGCTCAATAACGTACAGATGCCTCACTGTTGTACGCTTTTAAATCGAATATTTATTATAATATTATCTGCACCAATAATTAACAAATACTTCTTATAACTTGAGTCAAGGACGGAGGAGAAATTTTGTGTTGACGATAACTACTCTCGAATTCGCTATCTATGGCCACAGAGAACGGAAAGCGCAAGGAACGCATTGGACCTCTGATTAACTCTGACAAAACGTAGATCACTTTAACTACCAATTTTCATTCAAAAGCCAAAATGCTTTAACTTGATCGTACTCTGCATGAGAAAGGCGGTAGGATTAGAAACGACACTTAAATTAATCTCTATACGTTGCTAGATCCACAAAATGCGGCGTTCAGCATTTTCTACGCTGCAGCGTAACCAGCCCTGGTTCCACAACAACATCTTTTGCCGTTTATTATATATAATAGTAATGTATAAGTGTACTCTTGGAACGGTGCTCGGCCCGAGGCTGTTTACTTTACGAATGAGAGGTAAATAGATTAAAACTGTCAGTGATTCTTAAAAGATTTGTCAACGATGATGCGATTTGAAGAGAGGGTCGTTTAACTGACATTCACAATCATCGCTAATACAGCAGTTTTTGAGCCGTTCGCGGCAACGGTATGTTCCAGTGGGCATTAGTTGCTCACTGTGTAATTCCAGACTACTCAGCCAGCCCGCGCAGGTTCAAAAACAAACAAGACGCCAAGTTGAAAGCAAATTGACGCTTTTCCTTTATTTTGAATACAACTTACTTGCTCTCCATTTCGCGTGCGAATTCAGTGGACGCAACCTACCCATATCAACTACAAAATTCGCTAACCATCTTTATTTATGAGCCTCTATTATTTCTAGCCTATGTCCTATCTGAGTATCACCCACACTATAAGCTCACACCCGATAGTCCCTGACTCATGTTGAATTTCAACGTAGCGTCGCTCCCGATACGGCCTTTGTCACCATTTCTTAGCATCGACTTTAGTTTTGGTGGCTTTATATAGCTGCGGTTAGTTATTGCGTAATTAGTCAAACCTCCACAAAGTTCCTTCAAAAATTCTTATGTTTAGGCCGAATTTCGATTACCTGATTGTCAGTAACCACGTAATTGATTATTGCGGCAGATATTTTCAAAGTGTTGCATTCGTTAGTAAATTTTGATTTTATCCACAATCACGACTTTGATATGGTTACCCTCCTGTTGTGCGTTAATCAGAGATTTCTATATTGAACACTATTTTCTTTCTGCTTTTTATTGCTTGCCAGACAGCCTTTTAATGTGGCGCTAACCTGGTTTGCGTCACTGCACAACTATATATGAATACTTTCTCGCCTGCCTTACAGCATACAAAAGCGCTTGTGATGAATTGGTAACCACTGCTTTTCAGCTTCTACAGAGAATATCATCATAGAAACATTAGCGCGTTGTCATCCATTGGCAACACTGGCCGGCGTATATTACGTGTATAATAAAAACTACGGAAGCCCCTGAAATCTATTAAAAGTATATTCTATTCTGCGATCTATCGAACGACCTACTGTTCTAGCGTGCACATACCTATTTATACTAAAACACCTATTTATTTTATTTATCATCTCACTGATCCTCTTTCTAATTTTCTAACCAAGTTAAATTTTTTAGGGAATGCATAGCTATTCTGAAAGAACGCAGCTGGGGCGAGAATGAACAAAAGATTCACTTTGAAAGCGGCGTTATGCTTGGTGTTGGAGTTTACAATCTCGTAAGTAGCGCAAGCATAAAGCTCAGGCTCTATTTATTTTTTGGGACTGACTTTTAGGCGGATTTGTTTATGAATTTTTCCAAGTGCTTATTTCATTGTAATTTTATCCTGCTCGACAATACTGGCGTAGGCCTTGACAAACTATCTTGCTGTCTATTTTGACACGTTTTTTGGTCTCATTTAGATGATAGCGTATGCTTTTATGCATTATAAAACATTGTAAATTGTCATAGGAAATTCTTCTATGGATCTACTTCATCGATCTCTAGTTTACTCTGCGAAGCATCTTAGCCTTCCTAACTCCTAAGTTCAACCTTGAAACTCTCAAATAATTTCCGTCTTCATAGAACATATTTGAAATTGATATTAGTATAGTATAATTATTTTAGCCTACCCAATATATTGAAAGCTATTCTATTATTGAAAGTTAGACGACTTTGCCCCACCTTGCCGTTTGTTAGACATATGTCTAAAGAATCTGATTACGGAGTTTTTACCATAATATAATTCCTGTTTACTTTCCTTAGACTTGAACTTCCCGCAAGTTGATAGATCTGACAGAATCTTCTCTAACTTTTTTTTTTTAATAAAATCACATGTATGTCCACCTTTCAGCTCGCAGCGTATATCAAATATCGGGGTTAAATGGACACCATCTATCGTACTCGGGACTTTGATTCCATCGCGTTCATTACACAGATTAATTAAATAAATGCATTATTCAAGAAAAAGTACACACTTGTTTATTAATAGGCCTATTGTTTATTGTTCTTTTCAGATCATAGCTTCGCTGCCCCAAAAGGTACTTAACTTACTTGAGTTCATAGGTTTTCATGGGGATGAAGCTACTGGCGAACGATTGTTAATGGAACAGGTAGAATCATTTGAAGGCTTCATGGCTGTGCTGAGCTGTTGCGCGCTCCTCATTTACCAGACTTATCTCTACTACATTTTCGGTAATTTTTTACTTTTCTCAGTAGTTTTTTTGTAATTGTCATTAAATGATCTGGATAGTGTTCTTTTGTATTCTACATTGATTGTGGCTTAATTCAAGGTTGCACAGACTATACCTGCATGCTGCGCTTAGCCTTATTTTCAATCGTCCTACTCAAGTCAATACTATGTGGAGCATGTTAGTGTTTTCGACTACAATTTTGGCAAATCGACCTTTACAACTCTTTTATCCTAGCTAACAATCTCATTTTATGTTTTCTGATCCTTCCGCAGGAAATGGAGACGCGGATTTTGAGCTTATCCATAAAACTGTCGAAAAACTAACGACTAGGTTTCCTCAGGCCGCGCTAGGCTTATACTTTGAGGGCCGCCTGCACCAGATCAATGGCCGAATAGAAAGTGCTATAGAAAAGTTCGAGCTTGCCAATAAGGTCATGGATGATTACATTCCGTTTGATGCTTTCTTCAACTGGGACCATACCTACCTATACGCGTGAGTGTTGCACATAGATCAGACCTAGATCAAAATCACCCTAGAAAAGGGTTGCGTTCATCAGTAGAATCGATACATACGTCCTGCAAAATATGGATAATGCAACATTCACGATTTCCGAGAAAAAAAACCGTTTGTTAGGGTGCACTTCAAAGACAATACGCATGACAGTGTGAATTGACCGAAGTCGAAACAGCTGAGTCACTTTGTCGACAATGTCGGAATGATTGTTTTGCTGAGCTATCTACTCTTGTAGTTTACATTAATGGATAATTTGGCTGTCCTTCATCGCAGATTCGCTGGTCGGTGGAATGAGGCCGATGCCACCGTAGCGGCCTTACAAGAAAAATGCAGCTGGTCAAATGCAACTGCCATATATGTTCGCGCAGCATGCACCTATATGAGGGGCGTATGTATACTACACTACATAATGCACACTAGTTGAGGACTAGTTTAGAGTAACACAAGCTGTGCTTTGTTTAACTTTAGGCAACATACGGCTAATTTTAGCTTCGCTTGCTGCGGGCAATTCCTTGCGTGAATCCCCTATCGCCTATGTTTTGACCTATACGTGCGAGACAACTACCCAGTTCTCCTCGCCTGGACGCTCCCGAGTCCAACGAGGCTTTCGTAACCTGCGAATTAAGTAGACGCCAAACATGCTCGATAACCGTTTCTGAACCGGTTCACGAGATTTGAATACAGTAATAATAATAATAAAAAGCTATCATATTTAAGGTGGCTAGTGACTAGTTGATGAAATCATGCTTTTCTAATAGCCACTCTCGAAATTGCCTACTACTCCATCGCGTCGTTAACAGACAATGCTCTTGAGCTCCCCAGCAGAATAAGTTAAACGTTCGATAATTTTCTGCTCAGCCTTTCGTCAGTTACGTTGTTATCGTAGATCAAAATTCTTAGGCCTTGCTTTCAAATCGAATCTGCGTGCTAGTAAAATAAATAAATAACCTTTTTTATTATCGAGATTTCTATTCATTTGCGGATTAACAGCTAAGTGAGAGTAACAATCACGTCGTACCAGAGGAAATTTTGGCGACGGTAACGTCGGCCATGTCGGAAGTCCCGTCAAAGTGTAGGATGGTTGCTGGCCGAACTGTTCCTATCGAGGTGTTCTGTTCGATGAGATCACGGACCTTCCTTGAAAGGAATCGTCTCATTTTGCCTCTTTATGTGAGTATCCACTGTATATACACAAATATGTTTGTTTGTTTGTTATAGGAGCGCAGCGAGGATCAGCGTTGCAATTATGCACCGGAGCGATACCAGTGTTTTTCAGGATAACGGATTATTTGCTTGCTTTTGACCATCGAACTTCAGGAGCTCATGTACCTTTGGGGCCACTTCAACATGTTCTCCAAAAACAACGATACCCTTATGAAGGCATACCGTGTGGTTTTGGATGAGGTCACGCGTCTCAAACCGGTTTATGATCACGACGCGACATATCTACCGGACTGGTGTCTAGCCAGGTTCATGCAGGGCGTTCTGCTTCGTTACCTTAAAGAACTAGACAAGGCCGAGGAAATTTTCAAGGAAGTTATTGAACAGTAGGTTGACCAACCTGCTAATTGGCACTTCTTAAAAGTAATCAAAATAAAGAAACACCCGAAACATGCAATCTACAACTCTGTATAGCATGTTCAATTTATTTTACCTTATTAAATTCTGTTTGAAGCGAACATCCAACGTTACCCATTTGAGATCTTTACCTGATATAAGATGCTCAACTAAACGTTAAGTCAAATTTAAAAATACTGTCTATTAACTCGGTAGGGGACCGGTTTTGAAAGAAGAAATCCATTCAGCAGCGTTCTCATCGCTCGAACTTGGCCTACTACTTATTGATCGTGGTCTTCTTGAAGAAGCTAAGGAAAGGATCAAACTTACCAGGGCATACCGTAGTTTCCCGCTAAGCATTCCAGTATCATTCAAGGTTCATTCAGCGTACAAACAGGTCAAAAAGTTGCTCCAAGAACATCCATGGGATCAGAAGGGATCGCTGTAAGATTATTCCTTTCAAATACTAGACGAATGAATAACGTTGAACCAAGACAAACAAAATTTACGAGCCTCCAGATGAATGTGATCTAAACAGGTTCTTTTCTTAGAGAAAAGTGCAAATATTTACAAATAACTCTGCCGAACAATAGAACGGGCGGTCTCTAGTATTCCGCATGTTTACCAACAGATAATGAAAGTAAAGGACAAAAGTTAAAGCACGTTAAAAGTTCCCGATATCGTACTCGTATTACACACAAATAAACAAAGGATAAAAACGCGTATATTTTTACACAACTCGTTGCTTTCATTAGATGTGACATGAATCCGGAAGCTCCGAGCGAATCCAACGTCAGAGGCAAATGCCTAGGACGCTAACCAAGTGACCGCTTTATTTTCGATGACGATTTAGGTAGGCGTGAATTGAAACTTGTGTCAGTTCGGTCAACTTCCGTTTGCGCTAATACGTATTATGTGCTTTCTTCCCTATGCAAATGACCTGATATTCTATAGCTAAGTGAGAAATATGCCGTTATTTTTTTCAGTACTGATGCTATTTGATAGAAGTGTTTTAACAGAAGAATGAATAAATAAATAAATATGGTTTAGATATTCATTTAACTAATGTGCATTATTTGGGTTGCATTTGTAAAAATGGTACCGATATAGGTTAGGTAGATGGTGCTTCAGACGACGTGTCTGAGGCAGGTTTCGAACCTATTACCCATGTCTCGTACTAATAAACAGTTTTTGTTTCTAAGGGGAAGTCCCTTTTATTATTGAATCCACTTTTTCCTAATGGTTAATCATTGTGTAGTCTGTGTGTGGGCACTACAATACATAATGTATTGGCATTTGCCTTCATTTAGCATTTACTGCATACTTCGATCACCCTCTGGTTACAATGCTGTGTATGTACAGACTAATCAGACAACCTAATCACATCCAAAACATTTCCAACTCAGACGCCACTTCAGAACTACAAAAAGGACTGTCATTTGTAACGTGTTAAAGAAAATGATTGCACACATTTTGTGTTTTGACATAGTGCCCATATGGGACGATCTATCAATTTTATTATAATAACATTTGATTGTACAAGATTTGCAAACCACTTGAAAATATATATATAGGTGAGGTTGCAAAAACAGACAACGTTCAAATTCCTTTTTTCAGCCAAAACTCCTAAGGTATTTACAGACTATGATTACTTTTCGAACGCACTGATTTATCCTTTAGCCATCATCTTTTTCGTTGATCTTCATTCACCCCGACACTTTGAAGCTCAGGAGTTTAAGCTCAAACCATTCAGTTCAAAGTAGTCATCATGAGGCGCGAAGATTGATATACATGTGCTAATACAGAAAATCATTTACGCAACGGGGGATGAAAAAGTAAGCGGATCCCAATTCAATCGATTACTATGAAAGTAGCCCTCGGCAAAGGCTGATACGGTGCTCGCTACATGATGCTTTCCGTTGATTATTGAAGGGAGGCTTCATATGGACATCATATACGATAGTCCATCCGTTGTCCTAGTTATAGATTGTGTTCTAATTGTACAGTTCGACAAAATGGGACACATAATTAGTGCGGCGTTGTTGTTATTATATCTCTGAAGAGAAAAACTTGGACTGGGCATAATATATAATCATTTTGCCTTTTTCTATGTATGTTTAATAGATTAGAAAGAGAAAATACATATGTCACTAAGTAGCTCGTGTTAATGACTTTACGCCATAACATTTATCGATTTGAATCTGGCCGACTGTGTGCAAGTCAGGCTCATGGGTAGCCTACTACTAATGTGCCTTAAGCAGCATTACCTAGATCTCGTAACTATAGTAAGATAATATATATGTAGAACCTAGATGTGTTGCAGTGAGACGCGATTTGCTTTATAGGAATGCATTTCCACCTGTCATATAACGATTTGGCAGTATCTTTACCCTCTGTATATATTGTTACTTGCCTAGAAGCTTTCCTACCCGTCATTTACCTTTACACATATATTTATGAGCTGATAAAGATATGGTAACGGGAAACTGTTGTCATAAATCATCGGTGAAGTCTGACTATTGGTACAAATACTTTTTTTTTACAAACATTATTTGTAAAAAAAAAAAGTATTTCAAAAAATCCCTATTCATCTAGCAGGCTATAGGTACCTCTTAGAGATCTTGAGGTCAATGCACCTGCACAACATAGCTCTTTACACAACGCGTCTACGCAACTGCTATGCCCACACAGCTGGACCTGTCTATCTTTGTTGGCTTTATGTTGCCGAAGTCTACGAGCCTCACTATTCCGAAGTAATTCCGAGTTCAGCGCCAAAGAAGAAGCTAACATTTAGCATTTAGGCACAATAACAGCTTAACAGACATCGTTTGTTTTAAGCGTCACTGACAACTAAGATGGATTCGAATTCGCTATGGAGTAATGGCAGCAAGAATCAATCTTTGACGACTTGCTCTCTTTTTTTTTTTCGTAATTCTTTCTGTGCATTATAGGCCCAAATTGCTCGATCGATAGTCAATTTAGTCATTCGCTGTGCCTCAAACTTGTGCAGACGGTTGTTTTACTTCGAAGCCCGAAAAGTTATGTAAAAAAATTACTCTCACCTAATTCTCCCCCTTTCACATATGCCTTAGCTGATAACCGCCATTAATTACTTACAATCAGTCTGCAGTATGATATATGTAATGTCTCAGATCCGTCGAAAAGGAGTCGAGTAATTGTTTTTGTCCTTGACAAAGTGGACGGAGTTTCATTCTAGCTCGATATCGCGTGGGCGGATCAAAAGGTTAGACGATTTATTATTTCCTTTGCGATATGAGGTCGCTTCGCCATTATAGAACTCCGACCGCCAAAAATTTAGACAAGCTGTACTGGTGCCCCCAGTTCAGCTGATGCGTTTAGTTTAATTCGATCAAATGCTGTGTATAGTGCTTCCGTATTTTGCACATTTCCCTATTTTGTTCAGGTTTACTATGAGTCACAGACATCCCGATATTATTGATTAAAAGACTAAAATTATTTTGCCTTTCGGGGTCTGTTGTATCTAGCGAAATTTAATCAACCAGAGTTTCCAAACAAGTGTTTAACAATAGAATAAAATCAAATTAATTTATTATATACTAAAATAATAGCTAGTATACCAGTCTAATTGGGCAACTGTACTCTTGATACCTATGCATCCGATTCTTAAAGTTATAGCAGATTTTAAAGTGCCATTTTGTTATTACTAAACCTAGTAAGGTAAAACGTTACCTACCGAAAGCATATAATGCGCTGTTTGTGCGCAAGCACCTTCGTTGTACGTTTGAAGTGTATGTCAACTTCCGACTTGGATTGGGGATGACCGGGCCAAATGGCGCTTCAGCCCAGACAATAACCGAGAGTAGTAATGTTGACTATTCTACGTCACGTGTGGGCACAGTCAATCAGCCAGACCTATAATGGTATTTTAAATTAAGTTCATTTTAACCCGGTTCATGTTCAAGTGTGTCCGGTGAGCCTCGAACCACTTCCGACCTTATCTACCTGAATAAAACGTATATTTACTTCTTTTTTTTCTCCAGTTATTGATTTCCCATGTAACCACTGAAGCCTCTCAACGGAAATGTCACATTGTAGCCTCATTACCGCTAGTTATCTCAAGGTAAGCCACGTTATATCGTTGGTGGCATCTAGCAGAAAAAACCGTACGCGAGGTCTTTTTTTATGGCATAATGTATACACCGTTGTTAAAACGGATCTTTTTTAGCTGATGCATAGATCCACCCAAGCGAACATTTGAGTATACTCGTTAATAGACAATCAGTTCCCTGATACAGAATCAAACGATGACAGGCTTTCGTTGTGTACAATGGCCCTGATTCTCCTATCTCCGCGTTACACAACATGGGAAGTGTCTATGATAAGTGCTATCGATTGCAGACGTTATAGGTAGCCAGCGCGATGGAAGCTAATACTGTTACCTGGTTTTCATTAATAAAGATCCGCCTTTTGGTCAACAACAACATGCAAATTTTGTTTCCCCACCACTCTACCCGCTAGCGATTCTAAGATACTTGGCGTCTGTAAGTATCAATTATTGACATTCACTGGTATCTTTCATCTGACTGCTGTTGGCTTTCGTCTGGCCAGTGTCCTTTTGCAGCTATCTCATCAACCGATTAACGATTTACCAGACTCGTTCTGCTACTCACGTCACATTAAGATATGCAGCGTACGCTTGTGGGCACCATACTGTTATCTAGAAGCAAAACAGGGGAAGAATGAACATTCTTTATAAATAATCTTACAAAGATTACAAATAAATCTTCATTTAATTTCGCTGAATTCAACAATTCGAAATCCAACCCAGTCTTGAACACACTCTTCTTCAGTTCATTAAGGTGGCGTATCTGTCAATTCAGAAGCACATCATCTTAAAATGCTTTTTAAATATGTAATGAGTGATTGCGATGTCATTTAGTACGCATTCGCTTCCTTCTGCAAAAAATTGGTTTACGGACACCGAACCAATATACAGCACATTATGATGAAGCGTAGAATGTGACAATATCGGCATCACCTCCAATTACCAGTACCAAGCCCGCAGAAATAACAGGCCAATAAGAGCTCTTCCTTTCGAGTGTTTTATTTTTCTTTCTTTACCCATATTCGACGCAATCATCCGTCACTACGATGAATACCGCCGCTCCTCTGTCGCGGGCCTAAACCCATCAAGGCGCTACAGTGATGCGACGCGATAAGGAATACAACAGCGGATACAACCAAATGTATGACTCTACTGGGAGCTGGGGCAATCAGATCTTGCCGACCGTTTCGTCAGCCTATTGCTATTGCTCCCCCCCCCCAAACCCCCAGCTAAGGGAACGGCAGCACGCCATGAGCATGCCTTAGAAACGAGCGTCTACCTGCTGGTAGAGTGCGCGTAATGTGCTGTTATTGGCGTTTCTGTTCGCGATAGCGCTTCAGGCCCAAGCCTTGTTTCCCCTTCGCTCTCTTCCTGTGCATCTGCATGCGTAAGAAACGAAAAGCGTCAACAGGAATCCGCATTGGCGAAGCGTGTTGGTCGTTAACCGTCGATGAGGTCGAAAAACACTCTAACACTCCTTGTTCCTCACACATCTACTGCTGCATCTTCTCGTGCACTATTACGCCTCTTCCTATCAGCACCGCCAACGATCGAGATGCGGATGATGATGGCCGTGGTGATGTAGTCGCAGTCGATGGCTGTGCTGAAGGCGACTACGATCACTATGACGACACGGAGGAACGATGAACAGCAGCCCAGCCTACCTCAGTATCACGAGTACAGGCGAACAGGTCAAGGGCTAATACCCCTTAGACCACATCTCACATTGAACGTACGGTTCACAGCAAGCCAAGGCCTAAGGCGGCAGTGGGCTGGTAGACCTGCCGTGTCAGTTCGCTACTAGCGCGACAGCGAGTTAAACAGGGACGATGAAGATTCGGGAGTCAGTCGGGAGGTTCAGGTGTTGCCGATTCTCTTACTGCTCTGCTGGTGTCGATGTCGACGCTGGCGCCAGATAGTCGCGCGGTTCGATGACGACGACGAGTTCAGCTGATGACGAGG